TAAAAGGTAAAATTTTAACGTAAATTATGTAGGTAATCACTGTGAAACTGTTCCAGTGAACATTTTACTATGTTATATTAAATCCAATGGAAATTTTCTCTTCAACCTTTAGTAGAGAGAAGCTAATTTAAATATTAAATGTTTTAGTTAGAAACAACATCATTATTGAACAATCCACAATTTAAGTGCAACTTATAGTAAAATCGAAAACTCAACAATGAGTATTACAGACAAAATCCATTGCCATCCATATATCATTTTCTTCAGAAGTGCAACTTGACAAGAATTATTAAATAATAAGAAAGTTTAACTGCTACTTAATTAACATCTATATATAATTGCATAGTTGTTGATCAAAAATATGTAATAATATACATACTTTAAAACTGAAAAGGGTGACATAAATAACATGAATCGCAAACGGCAAAAATTTAAATTGCAATTAGTTAAAACAGCAATTTTTGTATCATTACTGATTAAATATAATATAGAAAAATAATATAATAATATTAAATAAAATATAGAACGCATATTTTATTTGAAAATATAGTAGATACACCTATCCTCCACTTTACACGGATGATAGTTTCCATAAAATCTATGTCGTGTAAAACCTGAAAAATTCACTCTTATAGAGAAGAACCGTGTTAAACGAAATTCACTATAAAATAGCACTAACAAATACATGAACGGATAATATATACTTAATATCCAAACATTTATTATATTATAAAAATATTAATTTATTCCAATAATAAAAAATATATAAAACACCTATGACTAAATATTCATTATAATTATTTAAAGTCACACTTAAAAATTGATAAAAATAACATAAATAACATGAACCGCAAACGGTAAAAGCGCAATAGAGACATTAAGTTGAAATGTCGGTTGATATATTATTACACACTTAAGAAAGCACATGAACAAGATTAAATAATGTACAGGAACCGTAATTAATAACAAATTTTAAATGTTAAATCTTTTATACTAATTGTAAGAACAACGCTTTTATTGAATAATTCACAATTTAACTGCTATTTATTGAACATCTATAAATAATTGACTGAGTATTGAGTATAAATTATTTAAATTGTAACCCTTTGTAAATTGTACATCCTTTAAAATTGATAAAAGTAAAATAGTAATTTAGTAACTTAGTAATTTAAAATGGTAAAAGTGTAATAGAGTTATTAAGTTAAAATATCAATTTATATATCATTACAGATTTAAAAAAAAAACACAAACAAAATTAAACAATATACAGAAACCGTGTTTTATTTAAAAATAAAGAATTTATATGAAATAACAAAATTTGAATGTCAAATCTATTATATTTAGAACAACGTCCTTATTCAATAAATCACAATTTAAGTGCAATTTGACAAACATCTATAAATAGTTACATATATTGATTGTGAATAATCATATTTGCACTTTAATATGGATAAGAAATAATGTAAATAATATGAATCGTAAAGGTAAAAAGTGAAATAGAGACATCAAGTTGAAACGGCAATTATAAATTATTACGAATTTAAGATAACACATAACCAAGATGAAATGATATACAGAAACCGAGTTTTATTTAAAAATAGAGAATTTATATGTAATAACAAAATTTGAATGTTAAATCTATTATACTTAGAACAACGTCCTTATTCAATAACCACAATTTAAGTGCAATTTGACAAACATCTAGAAATATTTATATAAATATTGATTGTGAATAACCATATTTACATTTTAAAATTGATAAGAATGATATAAATAATATGAATCGTAAAGGTAAAAAGTGAAATAGAGACATCAAGTTGAAACGGCAATTATAAATTATTACAAATTTAAGATAAAAAATAAACAAGATAAAATTGATATACAGAAACCGAGTTTTATTTAAAAATAGATAATAAAAACAATGCCCTTATTCAATAAACCACAATTTAAGTACAATTTGACAAACATCTATAAATAGTTACATATATTGATTGTGAATAATCATATTTACACTTTAATATGGATAAGAAATAATGTAAATAATATGAATAATGTGAAAGGTAAAAAGTGTAATAGAGACAACAAGTTGAATCAGCAATTATAAATTATTATGAATTTAAGATACACATAACCAAGATAAAGTAATATACAGAAACCGTAATTTAATCTGAAAATATTAAATATATAAATAACAAAATTAAATGTTAAATATTAAAATGTTAATTTACACTTAGAACAACGTCTTTATTGATAATGCACAATTTAAGTGTAACTTAACAAACATCGATATAAAATAGACTGAACATTGATAAGAATGACATAAATAACATAAATCACATAGCTTAAAAATGTAATAGAGACATTAAATTGAAATGTCAATTTCTATATTATTACAAATATAAGAAAGCACATAAACAATAATAAATAATAAACATAAACATATAAAATCCATATGCGACAATTGGTCAAACAATTATTCAGAGACGACGGATATAACGTTATCCGTTTATTGAACACAGACTTGAACCAGCAAAAGAAGTTTAACAAACTTGTTAAAGAACCACATGAATAAAATAAACAGAATGAAATAAACACGATATTGTAACAAAACATCTGTAAAATACTTTATGCAGATATCTGGACACTGGGCGACGATATAGGGACATGCGACGACTAGGGAATTCTGCACAGTAAGTTTGCCGTGGCCGTGGAGGCGTTCTGTAGCAATAGAACGGATAGCGTAGCGCCGCTCAGACTCCGCCCAAGCGTTCGCAGTGCCGAGGCAGCACACGCCTTCCGGGGACACGGCCGCGTTTGCGCAAAGGTGACACGCACAGCATCCGCGGAGATCGGTGCAAGTGAAACAACTACCCGGAGCGCGGGATCTATCTCGCTCCCCGGAACGCGTATCGCCTCGTTCCCTTTGGATTTTATCGCCTCCGGTTTGCGGATTGCTGAGGCGTAGGCGTTCGCTATGAAGAGAAGCTTTAGCAATGGAATTTTTAAAGAATTATATTTTTTTCAACAAGTTCAGTCGGTAGAATGATGATGAATATTGATCTGTTATCAAATGTAGTGATTGTTGTTCTGCAATCATTTCTGTTTAGATATAAATAAAAACTGCGTGCATTAAGTCAAATTGCTGGAAATCGAAAATTAAAATCCCGTATCGAAAACTAAAATTAAAAAAAAAATTCAATTTTTTTAAACTTTGATTCTCAAAGTTTTGAAGTTTTGAAAAAAAATGCTGTATTGAAAAATTTGATTTTTTAATATTTTGTAATATTTTGGGAATTTTTAACCTTGTTCAGAGCAATCGCGCTGCATTACCCGCGTAGAGACAAATAAACATTGCTACAGAACCCATAGAAATGTAAATAAAATTTGTCCTTTTTATTAAAATGCCTATAAAATGTCTGATAATTACATGTGCGTATGTCTAATGATCATTTTTGACCGCCAAATTACATTTTTATTAAACTTTATTATAGGATCTCCGCAACCGCTAGACATGCCTTACCAAAAATTTTATTACTTTTTCATTTCATCAATACAAACAAAATGTTTTCTGAACCATCCAAATCGGACTCTCCGATATCTCAAAAACTGAATTACTATTTTTGGCACTTTTTGCCCCGTATCTTTGAAACGGCTTGACTTGCCTTTGCCAAATACTAATCAGCACGTCTTCCAGTCAATAGGAATCGAATGTTTTTTTAATTATTCAAATCGGTTGATCCGTGTTGACGAAATCGTCCACGAAAATCCAAACAAACATACATCAATCTTTTATTTTGAAATCTTTGAAACGTAAAGATAGCTACATAAAAATTTTCATTTTTGATTTTTTGCGATTACTATAACTTAAGCTACACGACGTTAATAACGTAGAACTTAATTCCAAAAAGCTATAATTAAATTGAGTATGCAACAACTTGTTTTTGCAAAATCGGTTAACGAGCAGATTTAAAATATTTAAATATTTATTTGCACTAAAGTTTCTTCCTAACAATATGTAATTCAAATTCATCAAAAATTGCATTTACTACACAAGTACAATATTTATTGATAAATAAATCTTCACATAAATGATTGTGAAGCAAGTTGTTAATTGTCCAAATCTAAGGAATTTAGCAATAAATCAATAGCAACCAGAAAAATACAGAAGCGATGAAATCCAGAAACCGATAATATGTGTGTCTGTCGCAAACTTCATTTTAATGCGTGTATATTTATTTGAATTATCTCCGGTGACGCGGGACACCAGGGCGAACGAGGACCGGTACCGCGGTAGCTGCTCGACTCGTTCCCGAGCGAGCGAGAGAGGAACGCAGCGCGTACTAACAGAGGCGAGCGCCCAATGAACGTTTGACGAACGGCCCTCGGATTGGCGCAGGGCACCCATACAAGAGACGGTCTCCCGTTGCGTGTGCCGCACACAGTCGCAGCAAATATTTTGTTCGCGGCTTTCTGAATCCGCGCGAGAACAGCCGACGCAAGAAGCCAAGCATCGGGCATCGGGCATCGCTCAGTCGACCGACAGCCGACACTCGATAGAGAGCGGTATCGCGCGCTATATACACGTGGAGTCGTAAACTCGACAGCTTAGTGTGACATACGCAACGGGCCAGCCCGGACGCAGACAGACGAAATTATTCTTAGCATTGACTGCTGTCACAACAGTCCAGGCCGGTTCGCTGCCGATTTGTGATTTATTGTCGTTTTATTTTAAACTGTTTTATGACGATATTTTTGAAAAAATATCATATTTTATTTATTTTTTCGGTTTAATAAAAAGTGTGATCGATTATGAAACGTAATCGTTTCGAGGGCTGACATATGTCAGATAATATTCGAATGTTTTCAATAAGTAAACAGTACTAATAAAACGTTTGTTAAAATATTGTCTTCGGACATGAGTGTCTTTCAGTGATAAGCAACTATTTAAATATATAGTGTGTTGATATATTTATGTACGTTGATCTGGAATAAATAAAATTATGAGTTCTTATCAGTTCGTGAATTCACTTGCGTCTTGCTACGCGGCACAAACCCCTCAGGGTCGTGGCGGCGGGCCAGAACAGCAAGCTCAGCAACAAGCTCAGCAACAGCTAGTGCAACAACAACAGCAGCATGCTTCAGCTGCGGATTATTATAACCCGAATGCGGCGGGAGCTGTTTATCCGCCAGCGTGTTATTCGCCACCTCAGGTCACTGCGGCCTGTCATTATCCTCAGCATCCCTATGCTACTCCGGCACCCGCGGCTCAGGGCCCGCTGCCACCCACTGAGATGGTGGATTACACACAATTGCAGCCGCCAGAGCCGCCGCATGCGAGCTGCAAGTACGCCGATAGCGCGTCGCCCGCTACGGCTGTTGCTTCACCTCAGGATCTGACCACGGCGCGTGGATCGCCGCCTCAACCACAACCGAATAAACAACCCGCATCTGCTGTTCCTTCGCCACCTGGAAAATCGACGCATCCAACGACTGCACCCCCAAACATGGCATCGCCCGCATCCAGCACGTCTAGTGCTTCCAGCGGGGACGCTACTCCGGGTTCTGCTTCCAAATCCGGAAAGAATGGAGCGAATCCTCCGCAGATCTACCCGTGGATGAAACGCGTACATCTCGGTCAAAGTGAGTACTGTAAATGTTTTCTATAATATATGTTCTATCTTAAATGTGCGTGAGTGCGAGCCCCTCGTGAAAACTCTAATAATATAAAAAGCCACCCGTGGCTTGACTGCGGCGAAATCATACAATATTTACAAGTGTTCGATATAGGCGATGTTTTTTCTTGATACAAGAGCGGTTGGAATTCAAATGATCTGTTAGTTTTATTGGTGCATTTATTATTCATCGTAGAGCCGTTATCAAATCCGTGTTCGGTAAAAGGTACGCGACTTGGGTCCATAATATGATGATACAGTGCAAAATGAAATGATAAAAAAGTTCTAAAATCAATGTACCTACTCTAGCTTTCGGATATATATCAGTTTGTTTGTCAAACTGTAAAGTGCCTGAAAAATAAATAATAATGACATACATCATAAATAATTTCTAGCAGCTCACGGACCTTTAATAAAATAAAATATTGTGAAAATCTGAATACTCCACGATGCTTTCTATTATGAACAACGTCGGGTTACCACCGTACGCTGCAATGTTCATATAATTGACTTAATGATCCCAATTACGCGCTGATTCCGACTATTATCCCTGCATAATATATCACAGCTTCAAACTGGATCAGACTCAGATACGCTGAGACTTATAAAGATGTGCAGAATCGTGGATAATGCCATAAACATAAATAATGTTTCGAGTGATTTACACGTATTTGAACTGTTATTAATGTCTCGTTGTTTCGATCGCATTGGAATAATATTACTTATCACCGGGCAACTGCAATTTACACAACTTGCAATTTACACACTATGCATAATTGAGACTAGAAAGAAATACTATTCTGAGAGACATGAATTTTATGCGATTTTAGAAAGGCCGTAAAGAAGTCATACACAATTTTTGCTACATCTTTTGAAAATTTATATAAAAATAAATATTTAAATTTTTATTAATCTTGAATGATAGTACAATCGTGTGAACTATGGACAAGTTAAAAAAATGTTTTTTCATTAAATAGCGATTGTCTGAAAAAAAAATTACAATTTTCTTTGATTTTCTCAAATTTTATAAAAATAGTGAAAATTGTAATTTGGGTAGATCGGTAGTTCATACTGAAAAATAGTCATTGAAGAAGACAAATTTTAAATAAAACAGTCCAGTAAAAGTTGGGAAATCGTGGGTATCGTATCGAAAAAGACAGTTTTCGAAACAGAGAAAAATTGTCGTGGTTGCTGTATCATCATCCATAATTTAAATTTAAGAGAAACCTCTCGTACACATATTCTTGAGCCGTTTAACTTTAAAAATATGCGAAGAAAACAAAATCGATTTTTTCTTATTCTAGACCAGAATACCCAACAAGTGATAGAAATATTTTTTTTTATTCGAATTCAAAATATATTTTGTATAATTAAATTATGATCTTCTCTTTAAGGCAGGTTATGTATAAGGCTTTTCATGTTTGGGTATTCAATTCTATATTTGTTTGAAGTCTTTAACTAAAATAATAAAACTAACAGCTGAACTTACAAATTTAATAAACTTTTTCGCCATATTGGAATATTTTATTCCAAGTAAAAATTAAGAAATAAATCATGAAACGTATGTAAGCTTCTATAACAATACAAGAGATCGATTTTTTTGATAACGCCCGAGGGATGGTTCTTGAGTGAATGAAAACCGAGAACATCGACATTGAAAAAAATTGTTACAAGTCAAAACAAACACCCGAATCCTTAAATATTTTTATATTATAAATCATTCCTGTTGCCGAAACACGTAGCACAGTTTTTATGAACTGGAGAGGAACCAACTTGTCAGAAGATGTAATTTATGGTCCCCGTTCACAATCAGCTATTTGCACGGGAGAAAGTAATGTGCGGTTAGTTCTGCGGGATCAAGCTTTTATTTGGATGTTTATTATTATTATCCCACATTGTCTAGTTAATAAAATATAGAAAATACTTATACGTTGAATCGATTGAAACATATCTTCCCTGCCTTAATATTCTGACATTAACACTAACAATGAGAACATAAATAATCGTGAAGAAAATTATTATGTCGAGTTAGTTGGTACTATCGATGACACCATAGGGAATTACGGTAGCACTTGAAAACCACTTTCAATAGATAATACAAATACGAGGTTTATCATAATGCCTGTTAAATATTCATTATGGTTTAAATTATGATAAAAAACGCAATAAAAACAATGCGAGTACTTGAATATTATTTAGTACTGTAAACGAAATGTATAACATATATAAGCTGAAGTAAAACTATAAAATATAAACTTGTATTTGAAAAATCTTTGATGCATTATATTCAAATAGTTTCTTAAAATACAATATTCTATGCTAAGAGATGCTTTGTGATACTTTACTTACCTCACCTCAACCTCAATAAAGAAATCAAAGTTATAGATTGTCAATATCGTTTGAATTTTATTACTTTCATCTGCAAAAATCCTTTCTGTTTCGTATCAAAAAATTAATTCTGTTGAATTGCAAACATTGAGCAGATTTTCATTTTAGCTCTATAATATTATTAGCGTATTCAAAAACTACTGCATCATTGTGAAAGTTGTACGAAAAAATTGAAGTTTTTAATGCTGCATATAGCCAATAGTTTTTAATAAGCAACAAAAAACTAGCGTTTATATAATTGTAATATAATTCCAATACGTCCAATGTTCTATCAATTTCTATCAAGACCCCAATGTTTATGTGAACATAGTTAATGGTCCATTGACAGTAGGGAAAGTATACAACGACCCTTGAGATTTGAAGAATTATCGATCATCCTTTGTTTGCAATGGTTATAATATTAGAACAAGGCACATAAAATTTGTTCATATTGAATAAAATATCTGACAAAAAAATTCTGTAGTTGAGATGAAAATATTGCATATCAATTGAAATGAAACACACTAATGATACAAAATAAATTTAGTTTTTTATTGTTATTCGTTATTTCATTCTTATAGTCCTAATTATATTATAGTATTATGTACGTCATAACTTATTTTAAACATAACAACGTTTATGAAAACTCTCAAAAAATCATTAAAATACTAATAGCTCTTATTCAAAGTGCTTTACAGTCTCTAAGCTACAAAAAGGACTGAATACGATTAATTTGAATCATATTTTTTATTCAATTTTTTATGAATACTTACTTGATTTAGATTATCATTACATATATGTTTTTTATTTAAAAACCAAAAGAAGTGCTACTATCAATTTATCATTATGTATTCGTCACGGTAATTAAAATAAACAACATTCTATGAGCTATTTAAAGTTAAATTGCTATTTATTATATATGTGATTTTTTATAGTTTTCTCTATAGTTTTTTTCTGGTTGGTATATATGGTTCTAATAACGCTTGTATTTTTTTATTGTTGTTGCATTCAATTTAAATTTAATTTTTAGCTTAAATTGATACTTTATGCTCGAAATACGCCTCAATAAATTATTGTCTGTTTTGTAGAAGCATAAATAATATATATATAAATTTTATTCATTTATTAATATACTTGGTAGAAATGTATTAAACTATATTAAAATCTTAGGGGCCGTTCGTAGACACAAGCTTTCTTGCAAAAATATTTTGTATTTGATACATTACATTATTTTTGCTGGACTGCTCTTCAGCATTTCAAATATACTTGAAAAGGTTTCTCATGGAAAGATCATGAAAAGATTAGTAGGTTGTTAGGTTATATTTTAACCTTTGTAATTGTGGACTGTGAAAACACAGATTTGTTTGTATAATTTGTTGCAAGTTCTTATTATAATATATGACGTGTAACTAAGTTTGTTACCTCGCAAACTTTTGTTTTTAGAAGTGAAAGACCTCAAGCCAACTCTGTGCTTCCCCAAACCTGTAATACCCTTAACAACATTTTTTTGGTTAATGACAAATTAGTATGAAAAGTGTAATTGCTAACTATAGGTCAACATTGATGTGTCTAATATTCACAGATGATGACATAAGATATTATGTCGAAAAGTTTGCAAATTTAAAGATTTTTCAGTTCTTGCTCAGCTTGATCAACTTGAGTTTGATTTATTTTTTATCTAAACAATAACAATATAACTGTGTTTGTAAAACGCATTGCTTCTGTTTTATCACATTTTTTTATTAAATTTAATGTCTAAAGAGGTAGACGAAGCTAAAGCTCAATTCCGCCGCTAATTTCCTGGGAGTTTGTTCGCGTCCGTCGTGCGCTGTTTTATATGATCCGCATTACAAAGATGGAATGAGCGATTGCTTATTTGTAAAGCCGGCCGTGTATAGACAGCAATCGTTCGGCAATTTAGCTCATCTTTGCCTCTCTTCGCAAAATCTCACGATTTCATGTCTATCAAACGCTGGCTGTAAGGATATCTACCAAAACACCCGAGCGGTCTGCGTTTTATCAAGCCGTCGACGCGTTTACCTAATGTCTGGGAGAAACTGATTGTCGATGAAAATATCGATGTTAAAACTATGTAAATGATAGTAAAAAGTATAATAAAATTATCAATTTAATGTGTTGAATCCAATCGCGAATTGCAGAGCATCCGAGTGAAGAGGGTTAATATTTTCAAATTATATAAGAGGAGTTACGGGCTTGTTGTAACAGTTTTTTCTTAATTAATATATATTGAGATCCAATGTATATATTTCTACGAAATAAAGATGCATATATGTTGTGATTATTCTATTCTCATACTTCTAATCAAGCTAATATAATTCCATAAGTATTATTCGTTATTTCACTATTAATTATTTTTTAGAAAAAGTCATGTGTTATAACTTACCCCGTGTTTTGTGTTAGATACAACATCTACCGGTAACGACAAAAAACGACAATAATATCTTTGGTAATTTATTATTTAAAAAAAATTACATGTTTTATAATAATTATTTTCTTACGTTAATTTATCGTAAGATATAATGAATACAAATAAAATATATAGTGTCAACTGTAATCATTTTTTATCATAAATCAACGTAA